CACAGTTCTGTTCAAACACCAACTTGAAACAGTGTTAAAAAAAGTAACAAAATTTGAGGAGCAAACAAATGTTCAGTAACTTTTTTATGAAATATATATTTATAGATGTATATACACATATCAACAATTTGATAAATTGCCTATAAAAATAGAATTATTGGCAACATTTTAAGGATTGAACCCGCTGATACTTATCTTGAACAGCAACGACAACAACAACAACACCGCCACCACCAACACCAACAAACAGAGGCAAAGGCAAAAAAGTTATAGCTGAAATTTTGTTTTTTAAAAACTTTACTGATTTAATTGCTGCTTACTCAAAATGAAAACAACAATTTAAGACTTTCAAAATTTCTATTTGCAATATATCAGCCATATAATTAGCGCAAATAATTCGAAAAGAAAAAAGACTTATACGTTAAATTTTAAACAATGAATAGCGGGTAAAATAAAGAAATAAAAAAACTGAGAGGTAAAAAGAAATAAAATAGTTAAAGTGGAAATTTTCTATCATATTTTAGTATTACTATAAATTTTTAATCATATTTGCTAAATATAATTAATTGGAAGAATTTTGTCAATCACCAAATACTAACTGTTTTTCACTTGCCGCTCTTGTGTGTTTCATTTTTAACACCTTAGCAGAAACTGTATTTATCATCTCTAGCAAAATTTTTTGACAAATTTGATATCTTTATCTTATAGTAAGCAAAAGGTTTATACACTTCGATGCTATACACATAGGTTGACGTATAGATTTGAATGCAACTTTTAAATCTGCCTTATCAAATCAACTAAATGACGGCGATGCATTAAATGTGATTTTCTGTAGCCCAAATTTTCGTTTGAGAAAGTAAATATTTTACTTGGAATTTCGCAGCAATAACTTGCTTTCGTAATGCTGACAAAACTCGTCTCTTCAATTTATAAAAAGGTCTACAATTTATCAGTAGTTGAAATGTTAAATACAATACACACGAGCATTGAACATTTTGCTTACATTTCAAAATTTGCTTTAAAATATAATGTTAGTTTTCTGTTACGATAATTTAAATTGAACAGTTACTTGATACAATAAAAGTAGAAGAGAAAATAAGGTTTTTTCTAATATTATTTACACAGTTTTAACTGTTAATCTGATGCATTTTTTTAGGAATTTATCAACAACTATTGGTTTGTCAAATAAAAGCTAATGATAACGTTAGGATAGGTCTTCTAAAAAATGTAAAACCATTTAGTGCCTAACTAAAACAGTCAAAAAAGATGATGCCGAACAATTTTTGGTATTAATTACAGTTTTATAAACATACCAGATTCTCGCTACTGCTAAATTCAGAAGGTGAAATAAAAACGGCACTAAATTTGATTGCTGTTATCACAAGTTTAAATGGCTTTTGATAATGTTGTCATTCTAAAAATTATTGCATAATTCCTCTGTAATAGCAATTTTTACTCTGTTTTCGGAGTTGTTTCCTCATTCGTACGACACTTAACAGTCAAAAAGTTTGATAACCAGTTCAATTTTGCAAACCTTCAGTAATGATTCTTATAAGCAGTCAATTTTTTTTGCAAATAAACTTTGGATTTATTTAAATACTTACGTATACATATACGTCTAAGTACAAGTAAAAATATGTGTGCTTTTTTCATCATCAGTGACATTTACAATCGATGCTTTTTTCCTTGCGGAAGGCGACAGAAAATGCAATGCACTAACTGTCGGTGTACGACAATTTGAAATATTTTGAAACAAAAAAAATTTTTCAAAGTTTGAATAATCAAAAAATTTTCGACTTTAAGATTCAAAAATGAATAGCAGCCGATACCGTAATCAGTGCTCATATTATTTCAATGTGTCTCTCAACAACTGTTACGAATCTATGCGCCAATTGTCCACTCAAATTGTTCATTTGTTCATTAATTCAAAAAATTGGTTATAGTGATCATTAGCCTGGTTGGAAATTCGCAGCTAAACATCAATCCATTAGGTCTTCAAAATTTCCACAAAACTTATATGGTTATCAAGCAAAAAAAAAATTTGAGTAAAAAAAATTTTTTTCATTTATTTGCGTTGCGCTAAATGATTGCAATTTTTGATTGCAATAATGCAGTTGATCAGATTAATCCTTCTAATTTTAACAATTTATGGGCAATTTTTTGGTGCTAATAGGGGAAAATATTTTTCGCTTTTTACTTCAAAAATAGAATTTATACAAATTTTTTGCACATAAAGATGGTTTTGAAAATATCTTTATGCAGTGTTTAGGGAACAGCAGTGTTATAGGTTTCAGAAATTTATATTTTTGCGGCATTATTATTAACAAAAACTAGTTACTGTGATTAAGATCTTGTACAGTTTAATGTGTAGGTGAATTTATAATTGCTTTTTGAACAAGTGGGACCAAGAAATGATATGGATAAAATGTACTTGATTTATGAATTAGATAATCTGATTTAAGATGTTAAAATCTTAAAATTTTTTCGTCGTTGGTGT